CAGGCGCAGCTTAGCCTTACACTAAGTCTCTTCTTTATGCATCTAAATTATGGCAGCAACGACCTGCTCAGCCTAGTGAACTCCTTTCTCCAGCCTCTTCACTTAATTGTATTTTGCTTTTTAGACTAAACTCCCTAAACCACCAAGGCATCATAAAGTCTCTTAGACTTTAATTTCCTATCACATCATTGTCAGAGTCCTTTTTTTAAATTGCAAGTTCACACCTTATCTATCCTATTTGTGCCTATTTGCATCTCTTGGTGCTCTGTTGTACTTTTCCACTTAACCTTTTTTTTTTCACTCTGATATACACTTGCTTTTTCCTACTTCCATGTCATTATTTATGGTGTTCCCATTTCCCAGATTGTTCCATCTCTTTCCTCCTGTTTCAATGTTAGTGATTTTTCAAAGTTGACATTAAAGCATACCGATTCTATGAAGTCTTCTTTGCTCTGGCCTGTCTCCCTTGTGTGGACTTACTTTCCTGAGTGTTTCATCTGTCTTATCTATCTCCCAGATGTTCGGTAGTAGAAGATATCTAGGTTTTCTTTGTCTGCCTCTAATCCTCTTTGTTGATTGACTGATGGTGGTGGTGATAGAACAATGGACATGTATTGAGTGCTGACCGTGGACCAGACTTTACATGTATTAACTCATTTAACCCTCACACCAGCTTTATGAGGTAGATTCTCTTCTTATCTTTACTTCACTTACGAGGAAACTGAGGCACTGAGAGGTTAGGTATGCTACCCAGTGTGGCAGAACAGGGATGTGAGCCTGGACAGTCTGACCCCAGAGCACATGCTCTGTCCACTGCCCTTGACTGCCCAGTATGCTCAGGAAGAATTGGTATTACAAGAAGTGTATGATCCTTCTAACAGTGTTTATTTAAATTTAGAATGTGTCTTAACTTGGTTATGTAGCATTCGCAGATCTTTATACTATTATTAACACATTAACCCCTCGTTAAATCCTTTCATAAGGTTATTAAATATTGTAAATTTAGTTTTATAGAGCTGATAAATCCTACATAGTCTCTTCTAAGAAATCACTGATACAACCAGTATTAAAAGTTAATTTTCACCAAATCATGGTTACTAGGGAAAAGGAAGATGCTTTCTACTCAGCTTCAGTATCACCAGGCCCTCATGAATGAACAGGTCTGTGCTCCAAAGTTCGTTTAAGTTGGCTGTCTGGAACTTTGTTTCTGTGGGAGAGTACCTTATGTTAAGCTTGGTGTTTAAGTTCTTAGGGCAGGCCACAGTAAAACATTTGATTTACAAATACAGTGGTATTCTAACATTGGGGCTAAAAGAGCAAAGAGATACTCCTTCACTAACGTTCACCTGCTGCGTGTGGAGCACTATGAAAGGATGCTCTTATGTTAAATTCAGAGTTCTTACTGGGGCATCAGGAGCATAGCCACCTTCTGTAACAGCAAACCTAGGATCTTCCTCCCCTTCCCTCTTTCTTTCCACACCCCTTTGGCTGACCACCTGAGAGCACTTCTTTGGCCATATACCACCTGTGGTGTACCCCTGTGAACTGTGGGCCTGTTGGCTGGGGATGGTCAAGGACAGGGAGCTCCTGAGATTAAGGACTTCTGGAGGTAAAGGGTTCATAGTCACACCTTTTCTTTTTTTCTGACAATGCCAGATAAAGCCTGCTTCCTTCTCTTTCCATTGTGGCTGCTCTTTGTGTTGCTTTGCTTTGTCTTACTTCAGGAATGTGTGTGTGTGTGCGTGTGTGTGTGTGTGTGTGAGAGAGAGAGAGAGAGAGAGAGAAATGTAACTCAGATACAGAAACATGTATTAAAATGTTCAATTGATCCAATAATTGGCAAAGCAAACAACAATATAACCACCTTCTAGGACAAGAAATGGAGCATTATCAGACCTCAGAAGCTCTCCAGTATGTTCCTTCCCTAGCATAGCTCCCTTCCTGCCCCCTAGTGGTAATCACTGTTATTCCTTTTATGGAAATAATTTATTGTTTTTCCTTATAATTTTATTACCTACTAATGTATCCCCAAACGGTTTTACCTCCTTTTAAACTTTACATAAATGAAATCACACTGACTGTGTTCATTTATATCTTGCTGCTTTTTGCTCAATACATTTTTAAGACTCACCCATATTGTGACATGTAGATGCAGTTCCTTTTTGTTGCTGTGTGGTATTCTGTTGTATTAGTTTACAAGGGCTGCCATAACAAAGTACCACAGGCTGGGGGGCTTACACAACAGAAATTTATTTTCTCACAGTTCTGGAGGCTGGAAGTCCAAGATCAAGGTGTTAGCAGGATTGGTTTCATTCTGGGGCCTTTTTCCTTGACTTGTAGATGGCCGTTTTCTTCCAGTGTCTTTATGTGGTCTTCCCCCGTGTGTGTCTATGTCCTAATCTCCTGTTCTTCTAAAGATGCTAGTCATACTGGATTAGAGCCCACTCATATGACCTCATTTTACCGTAATTACCATCTTTAAAGGCCCTATCTCCAAATACAGTCACATTCTGAAATATTGGAGGTTAGGACTTAAACATAAGAAGTTAGCAGTGAACACAATTCAGCCCATAACATGCCTTATGTGATTATACCATAATTGTCTTTCATATTATTTGATGGATATTTTGATTGTTTCCAGTTTTAGGCTATTATGAACAATGCTGCTATGAACATTCTCACACATGTATAATGGTGGAAATCCCTAAGCTTCTTTAGGCTGGGAGGGAGCTTTCCATCCTGGAGTGAATTGCCGGGTCCTGTTGCATAGCTGGAACATCAATAAATAAATCCAATCTGTCTTCCAAAGTGATTGTTCCAATTTACATTCCTACCAGCAGTGTATGAGAGTTCTTCTTGTTTCACATTTTCCCAGCACCTGATATTGCCAGACTTTTTAATTTATACCAGTCTCTTGTGTGAAGTGCTATCTCATTGTGGTTTAATTTGTGTTTTTTTATTATTGAAGAATTTGAACATCTTCTCCTTTATTTATTGGGCATTTGGGTTTTGTGATATATCTGTTCAAGTCTTTTGCCCAGTTTTCTATTAAGTGGTCTGACTTTTCCTTAATGATTTATAGGAGTTCTTTAAATACTCTGGATATAAGTCCTTTGTTACTTATATATGTTGAATATAGCTTTTCAAACTCTGTAACTTAGTGTTTTCACTGTATTTACTGTCTCTTTTGATGACTAGGAGTTCGTAATTTTAGTGTGATCAGTTTATCAGTCTTTTCCTTTGTAGTCTATTTTTTTTTTTTGACAGGGAAAGATTCGCCCTGTGCTAACATCTGTTGCCAATCTTGCTCTTTTTTGTTTTTCCTTCTCCCCAAAGCCCCAGTGCATGGTTGTATACCCTAATTGTAAGTCCTTCTAGTTCTTCTATATGAGCCACCACCACAGCATGACAACTGTATGGCATGAGGTAGGACCCAATTTCATTTTTCCCCCCGTAGATAGTCAGTTGTTCTGGCATCATTTATTGAAAAGACACTCCTTTCCCCCACTGTGTCATAAGTCAGATGTCCATAGTATATGCTTTGATCTGCTTCTAGGCTCCTTTTCTGTATCACGGATCTGTTTGTCTATCTCTGCAGAAGTATTACACTGATTTGAATCCTATTGCTTTGTAATAAGTCTTGGAATCTGATAGAGCAGTTCCTGCTAGCCTGCTCCTGTTCTTCCCGAGTGTCTTGATTCTTCTTGGTTCTTTCCATTTTCATAAACATTTTAGTATCTACTTGTTGGGTTCTGCAACAGACCTATTGGGATCTTTATTGGAATGACTTGACTCTATAAGATCATTTGGGGGAGAATTGTCAATGTCATGAAAGACAAAACAAACAAACAAATACTGGGGGCCTGTTTTAGATTAGACTAAAGAGATCTGATAACTAAATGTATCATGTGATAGTTTTTAAGAAAGTTATGAAGACCTGGGACAAATGGGGACATTTTAGTCTGGATTGTGTATTAGATGATACTCATGTACCAATGTTAAATTTCCTGATAAGTTTGATAATTGTATGGATACGTTTGTTCTTAGGAGATACATGCAGAAGAATTTAAGGTGAAGTGTTTTGGTGCCGACAGCTAGCTCTCAATTCAAAAAAGTGTTGGGGGGGAGGAGAGGAGATGCGAAAGGAGTGATAATGGCAGAATGTTGACTATTGGTGAATCCACATGAAAGGTAAATAGGTGTTCATTGATTCTTTGTTTTTGACTTGTAGTTTTAAATTTTTTCGAAATAAAAGTTGGGGAAAATTATGTTTCATTTTGTATGTCAGGATAGTAGAGAACCAGATCCATGCTAATTTTGCATTATCTTGGTATGCTGTGTTAAGGAGATGTACCACTAAAACTGATAGTAAAACAGCAAGTGCGATTGTCTTTTTAAAACATGCTGTAGTTTGCTTGCGCTTACTCAATACACATTTCAATCATACTGGAACAGCAAATGTCTGTAGGCTGGCTCTCGAAGTAAAAAAATACATTAATAAATGTTTTGTGCCAATTGTTGATTTGCAGAAAAAGAAAACTGAGTTTTTTTTTAAACTACTGATTAGAGTTATGGAAATCTTTTCCTATATCGTACCAAAAGGTGAGCATAGTAATTCATCAGAGTTACGCTTCATGCAATCTAGTTTTATAAAACTAGGCTAAATATTTTTCTACTAAAAGCATTTCTGGTGCTTGCATGCTAATGTTTTTATTTTTCATAAAGGATCTCAGACCCTTTGTTCTCACAGCAAGTATCTTCCCAATCTATAAGGAAAACTCTGAGTTTTGTTTCAGTTTTTGGTTATTGCAGCCAGGGCACTTAGGAAGTTAAATGATTCCATGAGTCATGCAATGAATTGATGAAACTCGTGGACTCACAGTTATTGATTCTTCTTTGCGTTAGTGTCTCTTTCTTTTCCTGAATGTTAATATGTGATTTCTCATCAAAATGACTTGTAAAATAAAACATCTAACAGTAACAAAAAACTCTTCTAATAGCAAAAGGAAGAACTGAGCTTCTGAAGATCAATCTTCGTGAGGTTGAAGTGGACCCTGATATTCAACTGGAAGATATAGCAGAGAAGATTGAGGGCTATTCTGGTGCTGATATAACTAATGTTTGCAGGTATTTTTTTAATGATCTGTGACCTTACACATTAGTTATAGGTTTGGCAGGAGGACTGGTCTTAAAGTCAGTGTAGTTATTAGCCCTTGACATGAAAGCAGCTGCCTGTTGCCTTGAAATGATTTCCCCTTTGTCTTTTTTTTGCATAACTTCATTGGTCCTTGTTTGATTGAATAATTACGTAAGAATACAGTCACCTTTTCTGTCCTTTGATTTTTAAGAAATTATTGTATCTAACTTGGTACTAGTGACTTTGACAACTGAAGTTTAATTTAGCCCTAAATTGGAGCCTAGCTGCATCAACATAAAATATCATCATTTAGTTTTGGTTGGCATTTTACCACATGCAGATGAACAAACTTGATCAATTTGAGCTGTGAAAGATATATATTAAAATTTCTCTTTCAATTTAGTGACATCATAATTTTTAGACATTTCACATCACTCAATGAAGAGGATTTTTTTCTTCTAGTTCTTTTTTTTTTTTTCCTTTTTCTCCCCAAAGCGCACCAGTACATAGTTGTGTATTCTTCGTTGTGGGCCCTTCTAGTTGTGGCATGTGGGATGCTGCCTCAGCGTGGTTTGATGAGCAGTGCCATGTCCTCACCCAGGATTCGAACCAATGAAACACTGGGGCGCCTGCAGCGGAGCGCGTGAACTTAACCACTCGGCCACGGGGCCAGCCCCTCTTCTAGTTACTTCCCTAAGTGTACTTAAATTGACATCAGTAGGCTTTCTTTAAAATTATAACATCTGTATTTTTCACTTTTTCTGCTAGTATTTTTTCTGTGTGCATCTAAGTTGGGTGGCACTCAATAAGCTCACACAAGTTTCCACTATCACTATAGTAAAGTATATAAAAATTTGAAGTTTTGGTTGGCTTGGCTTCCTATAAGCTTTTTTGTGAGCAGTAATTGTCCATTTCTTCCAAACCTTCTTAATTATTTGCAAGTGATCAGAATGGGACTGAAAATAGGATCTGGAGAAGTCAGATTTTATCTCTTTAGTTGCCCACAAATACTCCATGTAGGGAATTCCACATCCTATATGTAGATATATTCATGTTCCAGAGAGACAGCTTCCTGGCTTTACTTCCTCTAATTAGGTTGTAGACAAACCAGGATAAGATTTGAATTATCTTAACATTAGCCATATACGCATTTTCAAGTGTGCAATTCAGTATTTCAAAATTCTACTTCATTTTCCTAAGCTTCTTGGCTGTCTTTGAAAGCAACAGTGGGGAAGAAAATTCAATTTATCTGAATGTACTGAAAATTACACTGAAAATTCAGTACTATCTGAGCACAACCTAGACTTTTAGGATTCATTAACAATACATTTTATGTTTAAGTCCTTTGCTTGCTGTTTTAACCTTTTCTGAACTTTCAGGATATCTCTGAAGTAGAAAATTCTGAGCAGCATCATAAAATTATATAAAATGATCTTTTGAATGTTTTCTTTTAACTTGGTTACAATTGAAAGTGTTTAAAATATTTGCCACAGTGAGTATTCACTGATTTTGGTGTATTTTTAGGGATGCCTCTTTAATGGCAATGAGACGGCGAATCAATGGCTTAAGTCCAGAAGAGATCCGTGCGCTTTCTAAAGAGGAGCTTCAGATGCCTGTGACCAGAGGAGACTTCGAATTGGCTCTTAAGAAAATTGCTAAGTCTGTCTCTGCCGCAGACTTGGAGAAGTATGAAAAATGGATGGTTGAATTTGGATCTGCTTGAATTTCTGACAGGTCTTTCATTTCTGGTATTTTTGTTTATAAAATGTGAAGAATTCCTGCAATTAAAAAAAAAAAATAGGTTTGGAACTTTTCGTTGGAGAGATTTTCACGTAAAGGAAAAAAAAAACCCCTAAAACCACAAAGAATATAAATGTAGTTGAGAAATAAGAAAAGCTTACGTAGAGAGCCTGATAGTCTCCGTCCCCTGGCTTTGTGCTGGTATTCCACGTGCTCATGCATTGGTATTGCACGCCCAGACCAGGGCGTCAGGGGGGCTGCAGAAAGAGATCAGCATGCTGTGGTAGGAACTTGTTTACAGAAGATTTAGAAGGACCTCTATTTCTCTCCCATTTGTTGTTTTTTGTTTTTTTCTATTCTTTGCTCTGAACATGAGGGACCTGTATATGCTGACTTTCAACACCAAAACTGGGTTTGTGTCAAATTCCTTATTTGTTGTTAAGAATGACAGTTTTGGATTAAATAATGAATTTGCTAGTTAAACCTTTAGAATTCACCTATGACTATTAGAGTCTATCTATGTAGTCTGGAGTTTTACCCTGTCTTCCCCACCATTTCTTCTTTTAGCTATTTAATCACTTATTAAGCTTTATGGGGGAATATCCTCATGTTTTGTGGTTTTTGAATCGTTTTGCCAGGTTGTTTCTCTGTTCTTTATTATTTTTTGCCGGTACTTTTTATATTTCATATCAGAAGAGTGGGAAGTGTATTATGACCGCAGAAGATGCACTTCTTCATTCTAGACTTCTAAGTTTGTTTTCACTTTTCTTTCAATATGTTCAAACACATAAACCCTTTATTTTTCTCAGCTCCAACATTGTTTGCGTTTTGCTGAATTTGCCTTTTGTATTCTAAATAAATACTTTGGTATTCTAAACAAGTCCACTCTCTTATGGCTAATGCAAAACATACAAAACAAAATCTTTGTAGTTTTCCAGACAGCTTGTTTAAGAAAATAACATCGTACATAGTGGACGATGTTTATTTGAAAATGTTAAAATTGTTCCTTGCCTAGGTTGAGAACTTGTACACACAGTAAGATTAGGATAGAAACCTGACATGCTCATTCAGTTTAGCAAGAATTACACAATAGAAAGAGGCCAGAAAAGGTAGATGGCACATGTCTAATTGCAAGTAGAGTACAGGCATGCGCCACGTAGCGACGTTTCAGTCGACGACAGACTGCGTATAAAACGTTGGTCCCTTAAGATTGGTACCATACAGCCTAGATGTGAAGTAGACTACACACATCTAGGTTTGTGTAAGTGCGCTCTATCATGTTCGCACAACGACAAAATTGCCTAATGACACATTTCTCAGAGTGTATCCCCATTGTTAAGCGATGCATGGTTGTAGTTTGGTGTTAGTTTTTAAAAATTACATTTATCGTATTTTAATTGGGCAACCTGTGCTTTAATGGTCAAGCTTTTTAAAATTTGTATTGATGATATCCTGAATTTCCAATTTTTGACAGCACCTACTGGTTTAAAACTAAAAATAATACAACTTTTTAGATACTTAAAAACTCTTAGTATCTTGCTTAAGAGATTTTTTTTCACTAAGAACTATGTAGTTTTCAGATAACTTAAGTCTGCCTTTAAACTTCATTGTTTATCTAATGCTATAAATTACCCCCCTTTCCTCTGAGGCATAGATTATAAGAGTTAAAATCAGAAGGCATCGTGATTTTATTTCAGTTGAATTAATTCATCTTAGAAATTGAAGTTTCCTTTTATTCATGAACTTTTTAAATAAAGAAATAAATAATCCCACTAAGATAATCTTGCAAACTATTGCCATCCAGTAACCTGTTTTTTTCCTGAAGTCTTAGGAGCAATCATTAAAACATTAGTGTTTTATTGCTAAAACTTGTTTGTGTATTTTAGTTGATTAGTTAGACCATTTTTCCAGGTTTTGTGTTATTTGTTTTGGCATGCCTTTTGGGGTTTTTTTTTCCTGAATTCTTCATGGATAACATGGTATTTATGATTTTTAAAAATGATCAGTTAAGCAGTATTTGGAGTTACTCAGGCTTCCTAGAAGCTTATCTTTACGATGTTAAGTGTGCTATTTTGTTTCTGTTGTTTCTCATTTTGCTCTGTCAGTAGATAGTGCTTTGTATATCTTAAACTCCTTAAAGGCTCTTGAGGAGGTCCCTCTGGTGTTCTGTCCAACTGTTACTGTCCGTTGTATGTACATTGTTTTTATTGCAAGACAGTGTGTTGCCTTACGCAGAATGAAAGAATTGTTGTAGTTTGCTTTGTTTTATTTTTTGATGTTGTGTTATCAAATTAGAAAGATTTGGTTCCTTTAATTCATCTGAAAACATGAGTGTTTTGGGTTCTGCAACACAGTGATGTTAGGACTAAGTTTTGTACCATTCTGTCTTGCAGATATTTGATCAGAGGGTTCCTTCATTCAGCAGACTTGCGTTGGTTGCCTACTGTGTGCACCACCCTCCCGTGGGAGCTCTGTGGCTTACAGAGTCGGACTAGGCAGTGCAGTTCCGACTGGGCACTTTGTGTAATTACAGTGTACAGCGTCTTAACTCCAACTGATGAAACGAGTTCATATCATAAACAGAGAGGGACAGTAATCTGTGTGTGCTTTGGAAAGATGATACATAAAAGTTTTTCTCTCTTTAAATCTGTTTTAAAATTAGAACCAATACCCATTTGTTTGAACAATATAACTGTTATAGGTCTAACTATTTTCATGAACCATTTCTGTTTCCCAGCTACATGTTTATTGTAAACATTTTACTCTCATAGTTCCTTTATTTTTTAAAGGAAATTAATATTGATGAAATGTACCAGACAAATGGCCCTCTAGCGTAGACTGAAACCTTCTAGTAATCCAAGTAGAAAATAGACGATGGCGTCACAGTCTGCATCTTCTAGTCAGTAGCAGCATAGGTATTCCAGAATGACCAAAACGTCATTTGGACTCGGAACTCTGCCTCCAAAACTACCAAGACAGCTTGGAAGAGGAAACATGTTGTGGTCCAACTGTGTAACTAGGGGCTTCCTTTGAGCTCCTGAAATGGCCATTTTTATGATGTGATATTTGACTGTCAAAAAATAGGCTGAAATCACTAATTACTAAAAAGTGAGCAAGTATCTGGTGAATCTGCTATTAACAAACACCAGAAAAAAATATGTGTATACAGCCCAAATTTACAATATAATTGTCACGCTTTCACTTTGCTCCCTGTAGCCTGACTCTATTGAACATAAAATTATTGATACTCTAGGTTTTGAACGGCTTGAGTTTGTTTGAATTCCTTCCTTGGAAATAGACACTGTCAAATCCATGATGAGAATCACAAAACAGTAACTAGTTGACATAGATATATTTCACTTTCCCCCACCCCAGCCTGAGAGAAGTGAAGGACTTAGGCAGGTGTTTCATGTGGTGTGGGCTTTGGCTCCTTCAGTATTGTCTGGATTATTGTCTTTTTTGCATAATGGTAGATTCCCACGCTTCTTATTAATGATAAATCATCTTAGGACATATCCTATATGACAGGCATAAAATGTTAAGGGTATTTGTTGGCCTTTTCCAAGAAAGGGCCACCTTAACTTGTATGAGGAAACAATAGTAATTATTTTTTTAACCTTTTTTTGTACCTACTGTTCCTTAACTGTTTTGATTGTATAATATTTTTTACATACCAATTAATTTGTGATGCATGTAATATTTACGTGACTCTAAGAATCTGTCACAATAGAAAAGAGTAGGAATTACAGTTGGAGGGCATGTTAAGGGGATAAAAATATTTAAACCCCAAATGTTTTATTCTCGACTCCACCAATTATTTTTGTGGAAAAAACTAAAAATGCTGTTATAACACTATGTTTACTTATTTATACTAAGTTAAGCTTTTCATATTTATTTATTTAATTTTTTAAGGACATTTACTTTTAGTATTGTTTCTTAATATGGAAACTGTATGAGTATTTTAGAAATAAAATCCCTAAGATAATATGTTTTTACACATTCAGAAATTAACAATAATTCTTTGAATTTTTGTTAGATTTTTTAACTCTGGACAGCCTTCGGCTTTAATGGTATTTCTACATTTCCTGGTGACTTGTTAATAAAAACAGGAAAAATATTAAGGTAGAGTCATATATCACCTAAGACAGGGATAAGTTCTGAGAAATACAGTGTTAGACAGTTTCGTTCTTGTGCGAACATCATAGAAGTACTTACACAAACCTAGATGGTATAGCCTACTACACACCTAGGCGATATGGTACTAATCTTATGGGACCACCGTTGTATATGTGGTCCCTTGTTGACCGCAACATCATTATGTGACACAAGACTGTAATGTCATAAAATTTATTCTTTTTATTTTACCTTTCTCATTTCTTGATTGACCTTATTTTGTATATGTATATAAATAACCTGGATACTGCTTGGTCACCAGGAGTGTACAGGTTTTTGAACATTTGGAAATTATTTTTTTTTTAAAGATTGGCACCTGAGCTAACAACTGTTGCCAATCTTCTTTTTTTTCTTTTTCCTGCTTTCTCTCCCCAAATCCCCACAGTACATAGTTGTATATTTTAGTTGTAGGTCCTTCTAGTTGTGGCATGTGGGCGGTGCCATGTCCGCGCCCAGGATCTGAACCAGTGAAAGCCTGGGCCGCCGCAGCGGAGCGCGCGGACTTAATGACTCAGCCACGGGGCCGGCCCCTCTTTGGAAATTTCACACAGCAAATAGGGAATTAATATAGAGGTTTTCCTCCTATAAAAGGGCTTCCATTTGATTTTATGTTCAAAACTATATAATGTACTTCTGTTTTACTGTCTCTGAAATGACTAAATCTTGCCCTTGGAAAACCTGAATCTTTGCACATGTTATTTCCAGAGTCTACCTCAGTTAACCAGGTTTAGTTTTAGGTAGGAATGAATTGAAACCATGTTTAAATTCGGTTCATCATCTATGCAGGTTTGTTTGTTTAAGCAGTTCCTTCTCTCTCCTCTTGCCTTACTCTAGTTAATTTTTTTTAATCCTGAAATTTTAATTTAAAACATTTGTCTTTCTTCCTCTGGCAAAGCCATATATTCCAAATTAAGCCTCTGTGAAATGTCTGAATTCTTTTTCTCTCTTTGTTATGGCTATCTTCATTATTTGGATGTATTTCATTTCAAGGAGGAGTTTGAAACACAACACACGTCCTCCTATTTTCTCATAGCTTCATAAAGACAAATTAATGTGACAACATGAAAAGCCTTGGACCCTAGCAGTTCCTGTGTCCGTTCTCTAAGAACCTGAGTACTTACTGACAGCATACAGAAACGGACACCTGTCTGCTCATATGGCAGAGCAGCAGGGCGTCTCCTTCAGTTAGCGTTGTGTGGACATGTCCAGCGAGATCACTACAGCTTACCATGGTTTGTAAGGGTGTCGTTAAGTTTTTTGTTTCATTGTCTGTCTCCCAGTATTTTGAACCTAATTTAAAGAAAAAGACGTTTCTAAATTGTATTTATTAAATGTGCTTTTGCCTACATTTTGTGCTGCTACTTTGCCAGTCTCATGAGCTTAGTTGTGTTTGTACATAGGTTGTAGTTTGGTAATAAATTTATAGTGTTGCTTGTCAGTGTTTTCTTTGTGGTTCATATTTGATCTATAGTCACTGGTCCACTTATTGCCACCAGTGGGAATAACAAACCCCTCACCAGGAAGGAATGACTTTTCCCAGAGTTTTAGTTCTTATAAAATCACGTGGTAAACCTGACATTTTGTGTTTGCCATGCATTGTACTAATAAGTTCAAGGTTGATGCAAGTAAGATAAGAGTGGCTTTTCAATTAATTCCAACTGGTTTAATAAATATACTTGTCTTATTTGTGTGTCACCCTTGCAAAATGGATGTTCCATATGGTGAATTTTCCAGATGACTGTGTCTTATTTTATGAATCCTCCAAAGCTATTTTTTTAATTCATAGACTTTATTTTTTTGAGCAGTCTTAGGTTTACAGAAAAATTAAACAGCAAAGAGAGTTCTCATATACTTCCTACCTCCTCCCCGTAGTTTCCCCTTTTATATCTTGCTTTAGTGTGGTATTTTTGTTATAATTTAATCCATGTTGATACATTATTATTGCTAAAGTTCATAGTTTACATTAAGGTTCACTCTGTATTGTACAGTTCAGTGGGTTTTGACAAAAGCATAATGTCGTGTATCCACCATTACAGAATCATACAGAATAGTTTTCCCGCCCTGAACATCCTCTGTCCTGCCTGTTCATCTTTCCTCTGCCAACAACCAATCTTTTTATTGTCTCTGTAGTTTGTCTTTTCCAGAATGTCACATTGTTAAAATCATACAGTATGTAGCCTTTTTAGACTGACTTTTTCACTTAGCAGTATGCATTTAAGGTTCCTCCATGTCTTTTTTGTCGCTTAGTGGTTCATTTCTTTTTATCATGGGATAATATTCCATTACATAGATGTGCCAGTTTGTTTATCGATTCACCTATTGAAGGACATCTTGGTTCCTTCCAAGTTTTGGTAATTATGAATAAAACTGCTATGAACATTCATGTACAGGTTTTTGTGTGGATGTAAGTTTTCACGTCACTTGAGTAAATACCTAGGAGTGCGATTGCTGGAAGGTATGGTGAGAGTGTGTTTAATTTTGTAAGAAATTGCCAAATTGTCTTCTGAAGTGGCTGTACCATTTTGCATTCCCACCAGGAATGAATGAGTTCCTGCTGCTCCACATCCTCACCAGCATTTGGTGTTGTCACTGTTCTGATTTTGCCATTCTAATAGATGTGTAGTGGTATCTCATTGCTGTTCTAATTTCCAGTTCTCTAAAGACATGATGTTGAGCATCTTTTCATATGCTTATCTGTTTTTAAATTGTTTTTTATTGAAACCTTGCTAACATGTATCATACTTGTTGTCTGGCTTTGTAAAATAGAGAATTTGAACTTAACCCTTTCTTTGTGATTCAGAGTTGTCCTTATGATATGCAGCTAGTGGTGGGGTAGCAGTGGTTTTCTGCCTGTCCCTATGTGAGTTTTGATTTTGCCTTTATAGCCTTTTTTACTTGTCTGTTATCAGGCTGTCAACCTTTATTCCTCTTCCGATTTCCCACCTCTAGTCTTCAGTGAACCTAGCGAAACAGTTGTTAGGCTTGTTAGAATTATGAGTGAATTAGGAGTACAGCCGTTTGGGGATAAGGAAGTGGTGGGGCAGTCTCCTCTGTGATCTTTAGTGCTTTATGTCATTTCTCTAGGCCATCTGTGGCCTTTTTAGCACTATCTTTGGTTCCCAGAAGTGTTCCAGGTAGACAAGTGTGAAGAAGATGTTTATGCATGATTGTGTTGTCGTGTAGTTGTGTAATACTTATAGCTAGAAGGCCCCTAGCAACAGTTTAATTCCATGGCTCCACTCTTTTTTTCTTGCTGTGACCATTAATGAGGATTTGATCTATTAAAGGATATAAAGGAAAAGAGGTAAGTGGGACAAAAATAGGAAATATTTACGGCTAGAGCCTCCCCCTCTCCCTTCAATCCTTTCTACTTTCTCCAGTGCATATGCCCAGTGCTGCCTAGTGATGTGACATGGCGATGGGCTCATACGGCAGAACATACTTGAGCGTCGGGATGTTTGCCCAGAGAAGCCAGGAATTTAGCTGGAAACTATGAGGGAAGATAAAGGCGTTGCCTGGCTAGCGCCAGCTGCTGCCTTTCAAATGGAAACACGGAAAGGCAGGGTGGGCTCAAGTCTCACTGACTGATTCCATCCACTGAGGCTCAGATCCCTGAGGCTGGTGCCAATGTGCCTTCCTCGCTCCCTGACTGGATGTTGCCACAGGCAGCTGCATCTGTCCCGGACACCCCTGGGGATTCACCTGGGGTTCCTCCAGTCCTTACAGCCATTGCTCCTTCTACCCCGAACAGTGGGAAAAGGGATCGAGGGGGAGGACACATGTTCAGTGGCTACTTTCTGTCTTCTTTCTGAACAGAAAAGTTTTATGGCCAACTCTTCTCTAATTTTAATTGTTCTAAGGTCTTCTTGGGACCTTCCCTGTAAATTTGGAGAGGCTCAGCAGTGACCGAGGGCCTTGAGACCTGAAACTGGGAGCAAATGGTGTGGTCCAGTCCCCTCATCTTACAGGTGAAGGATGAACCCAGGGGGATTTTAACATACGTGTTCAAGATCACATTCTGAACTGGGAAATAAGACTTCTATCTATATCTGATCTTGAAGAAGGCTGCAGATAACGTGCAAAGCAGACAAGCCAGATGACCAAACATTTATTAAGGATCTTTAAGCCTCTGAAGCATGATACCAATACAGAGTAGTCACCCAAGTTGATGTTAAGAATATGAAATGGAGGATAAATTGACACCATAGGATTGGAACTAACATTTATAGTGTTTACTATGTGCTAGATACTTTTATTGTTTTATTGAATTCATACGCTAGTTCTAAAATGTATTTACTGCTATTCTCTTTTTGCAGGAGAGGAAACTGAGCTTTATAGAAAGACTTGCTCTAGTTATTTGGCTACTAAGAAATGGAAGAAAGAATGGAACCTAGGTCAGTTTAGTTGTAGAACCTATTCCTTTGCCATGTTCCAAGATTACTTTCAACAATGTTAAATGCAAACTCAATTCTTGAAATAAATATGTTACATTCACCCATTTTTCTGAGGTTATTAATCTGTCTTTTACCTTCCCTTTCCTGTATGCTTTTTTTAACCAGACTTTTAGGCAGACTGCTGTGATATATTCTGTTACAGTATTTACATTTATAATGACAGGAAAAAATAGTGGCTCTTGTGTTATGAGATTAAAATGAATTTGGGAATATTGCTGCCATTTATTATTATCAGAGTGTAAATATATACCTACTTGTTTTTCATGGAAGGCTTTATGAAATGAGCCTATCATTCCAAGAGTTTTTATGAATTACATTTAGACCACCAACTTCAGTGACCTAGAGCGCTGTCAGTCATTTTTGTTAGTAAGCTTCCTGACAGCGGTCTGCCCCCCGGATGGCAGCTCCAGAGTCATTAGCTGTATGCATGGTCTCCGTCAGTTACTAGGAGAGCAGCCCCAGTGTACTTGGCCCAGGGTTCAGTGTCCGTGTTTGAAGCACTACCCCAGAGCTGAGTTTAGTCCTGAATGTTCAAAATGGTTTCACTTAGCACATCTTAAATAACTTATTTAAAGACATAACTAATCATGATATGACTACTGTATTCCATAACATAAATCTTAAGCTATAGTGTTAGTAATTATTGTGTAATTAGAGATGGGTGAATCAACTTCATTTGGGATTCGTAAAATACCTCAAGCTATTTTTCAAACATTTTGAAATATATTTTGTAACATTTCTCAAACATACTTTACCAAGCAGATTTCCTCTAATTTTTAAACCCTTGTGTATTTTAAGGGAAATTTAATCCATATGTTTCTGATTCATTTGCACTTAACTCATCTAAGTTATTTTTTAAGAACAATTTGGTTTCCAAGAAGCCTTAGGAACCCTTCTCATGAATTCTATCATCCTTTGAAAGCCTTTTCCCCAATCAAAACTTTTTTCTCCAAGGATAAATGTGCATGAAATGTTTCAGTTCATTTTACAATTTAGAGCCCATATTTCACAATCTAAGCTAGTTCTGAATTTAATGTAATGTTACTCTGCCTTTACTGTAAGAACTTGCTTTGTCTCTCTTCAAAGCAAGTCTCTGCAGAGAGCTTGTAATCACAGTGTGCTCTTTTGAAAACACAGTGCCCTGACATTCTATGCTGTCATAGCACAGGTGACAGACGTGGGTTGATCAAACATGTCAAACTGAAGTGTCTGTTTAGTGCGCTGAATATGTATACATATTTGTACATATTCAAATATACATGTACACACTCATAAAAATGTTTAAATTTTTATAGGCTATCTTTTTTGTTTTTACCTCTACTTATAATTCTCACAAGACATTACTGTATTCTGGATGAATTAGTGATTTATTGTTCTCATCTCTCTTCAGAAATGTCTTTCACTTGAGACTTAGTCAACAGGTTTCTGTTGCCTAGCAAGTAGGTCTTTGAGAACAGCTCTTTGTGTAGTTTTAATGGAACAGCTTGATTGTATGAAATCTTCTTAGAAAAATTAAGGTCATTGCAGTGAAGGTAAAAGGAAATAAGCTGACAGCTAATTGGACAGAGTGTCATACACCACAGCAACTCTGGAAAAGATTTGCAGAAACATAGCAACAAAAGAATGGGGTTTGCTTAAGGCAGCTAGAACCTGCATTCAGAAATGTTCACGTTAAAAGAAAGACAGCAGCATTTTCTTGGGTTCTCATTAGGGAATTGTGTGAAATACATAGGTGCTAATCACAAGAAATAGCCTCTTAAGTTCCTATTTTTAATGGAAACTATCGTTTTTTCCCCTGAATTTTTTAGTGTGGGATTTTTAAACAATGAAACCATCTTCTCTGTACTTTTTAAACCATACAGTTTCTTACATATTTTGTTAGTTTGTGCTATTAATGAACTCTTAATATTTTAGGAAATATAGATAAATAAATTAATAGATAAATTCCTTTTAAGAATTAACACCTAAATTTTTCTTTGTTTAAACCAAAATGAAAAACTTCATGCGTGAGGGGAGACTTTTAAGTTTTACTTTGTATTTTTCCGTATGGTAATTATTTTACTTTACAAAGGAAATATGCTTACAAAATATTAAGGTAGTTTTTAAAAAGCAATATTTATAGAAATTGAGTAAATGCCTGCTCTTACTTCTGCTTCCCAAAAGCCTTTGGCCTAAAAGTCGGTCGTGGCTCTGGACCTTATTTCATTTGACTCACAGGGCAAGATTGTTCTGGTCATTGTCACTGTGACAATGATCCTGGGATCATTGATCAGTGATCCCCATTGTCACTGTAACCTGGATCAGTGATCTGCAAAGTTCTGTGATGATGCCTCTCCATCAATAAAATGTTTGTGAGTTTTATACTGTTACTATGTTGATGCTTTACAGAATATTTGTAATTTACAGTAGTATTTGTATGTAATTTATAAAAATACAAAATTAGAAAATTTAAAGACTATAAATATGAAAACACTGAAAAATAATTTTATTGGTACAAAATGCCCTAAAAAAACTGAATAATATTTGTATTGAGGGCCATGAGATTAAATATGCTTCGTTTTTTTTAAAGCTTGTACTAACCAGGTACAGCGATTTAGTTTATTTTAGTGCTTAATTTTAATGACTGTTGGAGGTGAAAAAGTTACTTCACAATGGTGTGTGATCCAAGTGGAAGAAATGAATCACTGGCTGCAAGTACATGTCATGAGCTTCATTTTTTAATCATGCCCTCTAATTATGCAGAAGTTTCCATTTAACTTTGGCTGTTAAATTTGCATCTTCCCTGATATCAGTCAGTTCTTGCAAATTAATTGGAAGTTTGCATTTTATATGAATAGTTTCAAAACCCACTGAACCTCTTCATTTGGAAGATTTTTAAACAAATAGGAAAATTGTTTCAAGTTTAAGTTGTACATTTTAGAGTTTTTAATGAGAGATTCACTGTTTTGTTTTTGGCAACAAAATCACGGAACAATGGAAATAAATGCTCTAGGTCAGGGAGTCTTCCCTCGGCCTGCCTGACCCTCATGTGCCCAGGAATTCCAGTTCTCAGCCAGTCCCGCTGAGTGTTTTCCTGGTTCTGCTCCATCTGGACATGACAGTCCTTAAATGACTTAGGATAAGTTTAATTCCTGTTGTGAGTTTTCATCCTCCTCAGTCTTAAAGTAATTCCTGACTTGTAGGTATAGTATGAGTGTGTCACTGTACATTTCTTCCACTTCAGTTATCAGTGGTCTCTGTGCCAGTGTCCACAGCAGTCCCTCCAGCTTATGTCAGGGACTTCCCCTGGGAGGCACCAGCTTGTTGCAGCTCCCCAGGTTCTGGTGCAGGACATTCAGATGGCTGTCAGCTACCAGAGGCAGTGCTGTTGCTTGCTGACTCCTTGTTCATGTTCAACTAGATGTGAGTGGAATTGTCAAAGGGAGGACCAAGAGTAGAAGAGAGACTTTTAGTTACTAACAGGAAAGTGGTAAGGTATGAGAGTCAGACTGGAAGGAAGAATCAGGGAAGGAGGACCTTGAGCTTTCCAAGGGAAGAAATCCCCATGTATTCTATGACTGGGTGAAGAAGAGTGGCATGAACCATAGATGTTTGGTCTTACTTGGATGGTGCGTACTCTAGTCAAAGAATCTTTCTTGGTCTGTGGCTAGAGATCTGTTAGCTGTTTAAACGAGGGGTCTGTCTGTTGGATCATGAGAGGCATTATGGAATTATGAGAACTTCAACTCTGGAGTCAGAAACCTAGATTCCAGCCCCAGCTCTGCCACTTCCAAGCTGTGTGACTTTGGGAAATTTACTTATTCTCTCTGAGCCTCTGTTATCTCATCTTAAAATGGATATGATAATAATAGTACATTCCTTATTGGACTGTTGAGAAGATGAAATGAGATACTGAATTTAAAGTGCTTATCAGTTTCTAGCATTGTGATAAAACCTCAGTATATGTTAGCTGCAAGGTGTGCTAGAGCTGGCACGTAACAGGCTTTCCCAGAGCCAATTGTTGAATATTAAGGAAGGTTGCAAGTCTTTCAACTGCTGAAATTGGCCATAGTGAGAGTCCTTACACTCTCTACAAGTCAAGGCTCCCTCCTTCACACAACTCCCTTGGAGAGCCAGTTTACCGGCACATCACTGGTTACTATCTTTATTTTGTGGGGTTTTTTTGCTTCTGCAAATAGAGCAGCTCTGGATAACTAGCGTGGCTCTTTGTCAGTCCCTCTGAAACAAGTAGTTGTGGTGATGAATAATACTCCTAACCCTCACCAGTCATAGCAAATAGGGTCAGTTTAATTTGCAGTGAGCCACTTTCGTCTCCAGGGGTGAATGGCTGTTTGGGATCTGCCAAAATTAGAGACCACTCTCTTCTCTGAGCTAGACTTTGCTCTGATGCTTTCACTGCAGTGTAACAGAAATCTTAGGATGCCAGAAATAGATCACAGGATTTCACTGCCGTTTCATTCCCTGACTGATCCAGTCTGAGCTCGCTCTAGGCAATACCACAGTGCCTTCAGCCTTTTGCTAACAGTGAGATTCTTCAGTCTCCCCAAAGGTTCTGAACCCCCAAACTGGGCTGGCTTACCTCGTGGTCATGTCAGACACTTGCACACGGACGTGTTTTGCCAAGTGCTTGTGAGAGGTGTTTGGCTGTTTTTCAGCAAAGGTAGGAGAGGCAGGAGGAAAGGGAGTTCTGTCCTCACTTCTTTTAGTATCTTCCCTGAACCAAAAAGTGGAGTTTGGTGGTAGCACCCGGTTAGAGGTCTCTTTTAGCACACTAAGGATCAAATTTTTCCCTATTTACAGTAGAAACAAAAAAACAAGCATAATTTCCCAAAAAAGCAGCTCTTTAAATAGGGAATTTACCAACTCCACTCTGTCTTATTGCAGATAAATACATATCTTCGCAAGAGGATCGCGCAAGTTTTTGTGTTCCTTTCTTAAGAATCACAGACTAGAGTTGCAGGTTGTTACTCATTTGCTTTTTACAAGAAAGAAAAAGCATTACATCACGTCAGAGGGTCTCAGGTTCCAGAAAGGGGAGCTTTCCAAGGTTTTCTGTGTAAGGAAGTTTCTGTGTAATCCATGGGGAATTATGCAGGAAAGGGGGCTGGAGGATCTAGCCAGGACTTATTTTTCCATCTATTTGAATTTGAATCTTAGACAAATATGTTATTATTTATGTAAATTTATTTAGACCTTTATAAAGTCAGTTTAAGTTATTGAATGCCCCACAGATTCTAAGCACAGCCCGTGCCTTAAGGAACTCGTCCTGGTCGAGAAAGCCCTGAAACAAACCCTCATAGAATGCTACAGTCATACGTCACCTAACGACGGGGATATGTTATGAGAAATGCATCGTTAGGCGATTTCATCGTTGTGTGAACGTCATAGAGTGTACTCCCAGAAACCTAGATGGCATAGCCTGCTACACACCTAGGCTATGTGGCACTAATCTTACGGGACCTCGTCGTGTACGCAGTCTGTCGTTGACTGAAATATTATGCGGTGCGTGACGGTATGTGCATTAATAACAGTGAGTATGTGACTGAGAAGTGTGGAGGAGGAAAAGGACAAGGAAGGCTTCACAGAGGAGGTGATGTCAGCTATGTTCTGAAGCATGAAGAAGAGTATACTAGGTGGCAAGAGAGGGAAAACTAACCCATGCAGAGGAAACAGTCACCACCTTCCTGGTGACTTGTGTTAGAGTTACAGTTGCCTTTTATTAGAGCGAGTTCTTTTCTTCACTAGATGGTGATCTCTATGAGCACAGGGAGCAGTCTCTCATCATTGCCTCCTCCACAAGGCTTTGAGTATTGTAGGTGTTCATATCCTCAGTGGGCAGTGAGAATCTGTAACCATACAAGAAGGTCACTTTTCTTCGTCGTGACCCTGTAAGCAAGGCTGTTCTGAAGAACACTGACATGAAGAAACGTATTCACTGCGTGATGATGGCAAAGCTCAGATTTGAAGTCAGATTCTAAGAGAAAGCCCAGAGCAAAATTGGATGTCTTGTCTGTGACCATGGTCTAAATAAACAGAAAACTTCACTTCCTTGCATTTTTGTGTAGCTTAAAGGTACGTTATTGTGATTACTGGTCATTGAGTTGTTGATAAACTGCTTTGCCTGCTTTCTCAAGAGGCGCAGCAGCTTTCCTCTCAGTGGTTTAATGTTTATGTGCCGTGGATGATGACACAGCGCTGCAGTCACAATATCTTCTTGGTGCTATGAAAGCCCTCCATTTTTCCAGGTCCGCATGCAGTCTGTTAGTCCATCTTGGAGTTGTCTATAGGATAGAATGTTTTCCACTTATGAACCAGGCCTACTTTATGAATCAAAAGGCACTTCTTAATTTGCAGTTGTATATTAAATTCACACATTTCAGATGGAAATTCACACAATCTATTTTGCATTACTCACACTTAATAGTAATTTCTTTTGGCTATTGCCCTCAGGCCATATAAGAATGAAAAAAAAATTTGAGCCCTTTATTTTGACTATGTTCACAGATTGTAAATCTGATTAGTTCTCTGATTTTTTTTTTTCTCTTAAAGTAACATCTGCATTACTCACTGAACAAAGACTGATAACTAGGGGCAGGTTTGCCTTATAACCATGTTCATCATACCTAAGTTATTCTGTCAGTTCACTTGGAAGATGCATCTGTTTTTCTGCACTAATTTGCTGCGTCAAGTTCATGTGTGCCACTAATAGATGTGATATGCACCTGTGAAATGGTGAGGAAAATTATGTCCAGATTAGGTAATGCTTTAAGACTGATTTATTTCAGAGCTGAAAGGAACCTTACAGATCATTGAATCCAGTGTTTCTCATACTGAGCTACAAAATCTATTTGTCCTTTGAGAAATGTTTAAATACTGTGTTTTCATTAGGTGAACAATTACAAAAAACATATAAGCACAGTCTGGCCTATGGGGATGACCTCTCTGAATTGAGAACCATGAGATTTCAAAGGTCGCATGATTTGGCTCCAGTGATAGGATCTAGGTTTCCTGCAAACCTAAAGGAATTCAGCAAGTGGGAGCTGCCTCGGGCCTCTGGATGGCAAGTTCAGGGTCCCTCTCACCACACTGGACTCCAATGAGATGTATGGTGTTTTGAGGGCATGACTATAATGGTGGTGTCATGCCAGCCCCAAATTCCTATGGGAGGCAGCTTGTGCTACAGATTTGAATAGTTGTATATTTCTGATGTCTATCATACTGTCTGAATTACAAGGTTACTGCTGTCAGGAGCTTTCATTCTTAGGTCACACATTAGCCAAGCCATCCTTGTCATTCTTTGAGTATTTATCACATATGCCCAGTGGAGGGTGGTGGATCAGTCAGCTTTCTCTAGGTAAGACTGAGGTAATGAAATAACTCCAAAATTTCTGTGGCTTGCAATAACAAAAGTATATTTCTTGTTCACACATCATCTGCAGCTCTGTTTTGGCTGTGATTCAGCTCCCTGCATTATCTCATTTTGAGATCTATGGTACCTGCAGTTACCCCTGTTTTCAGGACATAAGGAAAAGAGCAAGAAGGCTTTGAAACACTCAGGCCCTTAAAACTTCTTTTCAGATGTCCCATACATCATTTCTGTTGTGTTCCACTGGCCAAAACAAGTTGTATGGCCAAACCCTTTGTCAGTGGAACTGGGAAATATTATTCTCTCCACAAGGCGTCACATGGCCGTGGATAGAGATGTACAGTCATATGTCGCTTAACGATGGGGATATGTTCTAAGGAATGCATTGTTAGGGAATTTCATCGTTGTGTGAACATCTTGGAGTGCACTTACACAAAGCTAGATGATACAGCTTGCTACACACCTAGGCTGTGTGGTACTAATCTTATGGGACCGGCGTCGTGTATGGGGTTTGTTGTTGACCCAAATGTTGTTGTGCAGCACGTGACTGTATAATCCTCTTCCAGGCAGGGGGTTGAGTAATTGGGAACAATAATACACTCCACCACAGGCAACCCATAGAGCTGTGCACCTCACCATCGCTCGTCACTCTGGCTGGCTGGGCTCTTCAGTTTGGCTTTCTGTTTTTAATTTTCATTTTTTCTCAATTGCAAGTTTTAGAAGTGGAAAGCTTTAGGGTTGGATGGACATTTAGAGATCTCATCTCGTGCTTTTATTTTTCTAGTAGAGGGACTGAGGCCTAGTGAGGTGATTTGCCCAAGATTGCACAGCAAGACTTTACTACAGTGCTCTCTTCACAGCATCAACTTGGAAAATGTTGGAGAAGAATTGCTGCTTTGCTAATTGTAAGGGAAAATGGTTCTCTTGTTCCTGAAATCATACCCCTCCTGGGAGACAGAGGAATAAAACAGAACCTGAATGGTCAGTCTTGGAATGAAAACTGGCTCAATTTTCTATCAATTTTTTTTCTCAGCCACATTCGTATTAGGGGCAACTTATTTAAATTTATTATGTAGCATCAACAGAGCACCAGGATTTGTTTAGTGCTACAGTAAGTCACAGTTCCTGCCAAGGCAAATTGCATCTCTATTTTATAAATAGTCTGTACCCTGTGCTTATTTGATTTAAAATAAAATCTGTATGTAGTATGCAGTATGTTTCCTTTGAGCCTTTGTGTGGGGGAGCAGTCTGTGGATGAGTTCATACTGGAGACGTTCAACTGAGTGAGAGCTGTTCACTGGATACTCCATGGGCTTCTAATGTTCTCCTGGTGCTTAACTGATAAAAAATAAAACCCAGCACTGCCTGCGGGAAATGTGGATAATCTTTATTCAGCTACTGACGTTCCCAGCACCCCACTTCACAGATTTCAAATTCTGAAGTCAATGACCAATGACAAAGTGATAAAATGGATAGAAGTTACTGGAAGAGCTCCCATGTAGAGGACTGTAGTTGGGAGACAACAGGAGGAGGCAAAATAGGAGCTGCCACTACGTCGGGGAGGGGGTGGTTATGGGGGAGACACAAGTGCTTACTGCGTGAGAGGATTACAAATAAGATTTGAAAGGAAAGTGAGTGGGATGATTGCTCAAGTGCCCCACTAAGCCTTTAATGTACAGTGTAATCTCTTTTCTCGGAGGCAAAGCTCACAGACAAGAACCTATTGATGAATGACTGCACAAATCTAGGTTAACAATCATGCTTCTCATTCTAAAATCTCTTGCATCTGTGACCAAAATAATTTAAATATTTGATTGCATTTGTCAGTGTCTTAGACAATGTAGGCCACAAAAGTAGGGAATTTCTTGAGGTTAAGTGGCACATATGAGTAGTGCTATAGGGTAGAAGGGGCACCCCCTCCCTGGACACAGTTTCCACCTTTACCCTATGGCAGTGGAAAGGGGAGGAAAGGGGAGGAAAGGACACACCTAAAAGGAGTTGGTTGAAAACTGCTTTGGCCTCTGGAGACTAGAGGTAAGGTTAGTCCGACTAAATTTTGAAAAGGCCTCTTTCTGTTTTTTCACTTCCTCGCCTCCTAAAACATCTCCCTACAAATCACCTGCCCAGTTCCCTTAGGTTTTCTAAAACCTCACGCTTTAACATCCACTCAGCCTGCTCCATATTGCGTCAAGGAAATATCCCCACCCGCCGTCTCAGTCAGGGTGCCTTTGCCCTGAGTGGCGGTGTTAGGAAAGCAATCTGGTTCAATTTTGTTGTATGTACTGACATTGCAGTACTTTGCGTATTCTTCAGCTTGTTTTCCCCAATCTTTCCTTTCTCTGTGGCTACAATTTCTAATTACCCTGAGGTACAAAACTTAGATCCATAAAGGTTCTAGATAATCAGTTAGGGTGATTATCAGGACCACGTAGGGAGCTTTTAGAAATACACATGCCTAAACCCCCTCCCTTGAGATCCTGATTTGCTAATTGGAGGCTTTGGAGTGTTGTAGGTGTCTGAATTTTTAATAAGCTTCCTAGATCATTTGAATGGAATCATGTAGTTCTTTGCCTCCCTGGGAAAGAACGCTTGCATAGGAAAGCCTGCGTTCTCTTGATGCTTGTCGTAATAGAGGGAGGTGCTGCTTGTCACCTTAGTACCTTAGTAATACTCCTAGAATCAGCTTTAGTTGATTTTAGTTGACTTTTTATTTTTAGAATTCTTCAATTTCTTTTCTCTTAGAAGGGCTGATTAAATATTCTTAGACTCTATTCTGCCTGCCCAATTCCTAGCTTGTAAATTCAGCCACCAGCAGGGATTAGAAATACTATAGTCCTTGAAACTGCTTGGTTTAAGGAAGGGCAAAACCCACCCCTGAGCCTGATCTTATTAGATGGTCCTAATTCCCTCCCCCATATGCTTTCTTCCTTTTTATTGGAACCTCTCTTTACCCATTTTTCACCCCAGGGGTTTTTTGTTATGTAAGAAAGTTATTTCAATTGTTGTGAATGTCTTATCATTCTTAATTTCATTACCATACAGCACAATCATGGCTGTGCACATCATTAAAATGTATTAGATTTACTTTGTTCTAAGTTTTATTTAATGCTAACACTGAACTGTGTTTGTGTGTTGCTCTGATACCATGCCTGTATACTAAAAAATTAATAAAACAAAGTAGGACGATTGTCTGGTAACATTACATTTGTGTTTGACTGACAGTTTGGCACCATTGCAACAAAACCCAAGTGTAAACAATGGGCCTGAGCTTGCTAGTAAGGCTCCAGCCAGATAGTTGGGTATTCTCATCTTACGTTTTGAATCTCAAAGCAATTATAGTCTCCCCAACCTTCTATCAAGATCGAGGGGTGTGTGTGTGTGTCTTTGAAAGTGGAATAAGGATCTTTGCCAAGGCATCTGGCAACATCTCCAATGATGTCTTTATGGACAAGGTAGAGAAATGTAACTGAATGATAGTTACGTGGATCCCTGGCTGGTCGAATGACTACCTCAAAGGGTATTAATTAGTGGATCTGTGCTGGACTACTCCATTAATACCATGCTATTGGGCCTTGTACTTGATCCTCTTCTCCAGGTGTTTTAACAGGAGGTGAAGATGAATTAACAAATTTCTAGCTGACCCAAAGCTGGGAAGGACAGATTAGATTAAGACTATTGAAACATTTAAAAAGAGCTCAGTAGGTCTAAGGCAGAGCTGGAATGATCAAAGTGAAATGTAAAGAAGTGAAATGAGGTAGGAACAGATGTAAAATCCTATACTTATCAATTGCCTGATAGACAAGTTAGGGAGACCTGATATAATAGTCACTACATGACAAAATTGTGCTAGTATGTGTCAGCTGAGGGGTTCCAGCTTCCCAGAAGTTTGTCCTAAGGGTCCCAGAGGACCTCCAGGCGGGTCAGTGGATCTGGGATCTCTTGAGGTCTCTAGTCATGGAAAGCTAGTGAGAAAGCCTTGGAAGCCCGTGCCCACCCAGTAACCCAGCCTTCACAGCACTTTGTACCTCTCTTGAGTCGAGCACTTACCACGTCCTTTACAGTTAGGTTATTTGTGTATCTGTCTTGGCTCCTTAATTGTAAACTCCAGGGTAAGGACCATGTTTTACCCCTTTCTGAGTTCCCAGGGCCAAGCGCCTGACACAGACACAAATTGGGGAGTCCAGGAAGTGCCTGCAAGTGGGGCTTTTTGTCTGCTTTGTTTTGTTCACCACTGCATCCACGGAGCTGAGAACAATGCTTGGCCTAAGGTGGGTCTCCATACATGATGAAAGAGTGAGTGACACATACAGATGCTTAATAAATCTTAGCCATTCATTCTCAATGTAGTTGTGGCATGTCTTGTTAATAAGTCACTGCTTGGCTGTTCTAAAACCTTCAGGAACTTCGCATCCTTTTTCTTTGGCCTCTCAGTTCTTAGTCCATTACCATCTTGGATTACATTGTGGGTTTATTCAGAAAAGCCCAGATGGGACAGAAAAGTTTGATGATCCTTTGAAAAGACATACTGCAGATGTAATGAATTCATTACCTTTTGCAGGAAGTTAAGGCACAAGCAGAAGTTGGATTTAGGTTCAGGTTCCAACTTGGACAGTTGTTTGTGAGATTTATGACTTTGGGAAATTATCCTATTTTCTTGAAGCCTTGGTTTTCTTATCTGAAAAACGTAGATAAAACACTCCAGAGGGTAGATAAGGTATGGATAACACAAAGTATCATCCTAATAAAAGTCATTATTATTATTATTATTATTATTAGTTTACCAAGGCCTTAGCTCAAGTAAGAGCCAGAGTAGAGAGGGAGAAAACTCTCCAGGAAGAACCAAGGAAAAAGAAATTAGAAATTACTAAAGGCTTGCCTTCAAGGTTTACTTCTTTTGTATGTCAAAGCACCTGCTCCTGTTAGACAAGTAAGTGCCTCAGAGTGGGGAAATAGAGGCCCTGCATTGCCGAGGGAGCTCTGGTCTCCATGGTAACAGCACATTAGATTCTGATGCAGGCACACCTGGTATTCTCAGGTTGCTCCACCATATGGCACCTCATATATTTCATCAAGGAAAAAAAACTACCTTGACCTCCCCCTACTGCGTAGGCACACACACACACACATACCCCCACACCCTCTATGTCTGATCCATGGCCACTGAAGCGATGTAAGCCTCTGTCACAAAGATTGGAAACACAGTTCCAAAAGCCATTCAGTCAAACAAAGGGCCAGAACAGTTATTCTGGGCTTCAAAGAGGTGCTCAGAAGAGAAGTACCTGACAAATACATTTGCAATTTGCCTTTTCCGTGAGACTGACGCAGAATCAGGTGGTCCCCCCAGCCCCATGGCTTGTTCATAAAGCAGCCCCATTCATGACCCTGCTGAAAGCAGAATCACACATCCTCAGCCATGACTCATCTCATGACACCGTTTGTAAAAGTGGCCTCTCAAACTCTCCCTACATATAATGCCCATTAAAATGCTCTGCTTTGAACTAGTTTAAAAGGGAAAAGAAAGATTTCCTGGTAGGATTAAAAAAAAAAAAATGCAGACAGCCTGTAGTTGCCATGTGACACAACCAAAGAATTATGGCTGCTTAGAGATTTCCTGTTCTGCTTCAGAAACAGATGTTTAAAAACTTCATGTTAAAAGAGATGTCAGAAATTGGGGACAAAAGTCACTGTTCCTTGCAGTATATCAAAGTCTTCCTTTTCAATGGGCATCTTATTGATTTGGTTTCTTCATACCACATTCCCCAGAAAGCCCATTTAAATTAACCACGCATGCTGCTCCAGCATGCTTGAGTGCAACCATAGTGCCTTGTGCACGTTATGCTTTATAAAAGGCCTTTGATGACAATGTCTTAAAAAGCCACAGCTAAGAAATGGTAGAATTTAAGTTCTAGAAATGTTAGCTTACTTATGGTGCTCATGGTAATTTTTTTAAGTACCTTGGGTAGCCTACTGAGTGATAAATAATAATAACCAAATGTATCCCTCCAACCTGGGAAAGTGAGCTGTGTAAGCTGTGCTCTGTGAAGTTTGTAGTTTATGTTTTGAAACCGGCTCAATGTGCTGGGTTCCTGGATCATTGCTTAGTTTTAATTTGTGGGAAAGGGATTATGTTTAAAGCAATAAAAACTTTTCCTTCCATGTCATAACAACCTTTTGGCAAGCTCACTGGCAATTTCTCTCTGCAGCTTTTCTCCCCCGCTTGAGGGATGAGTCATGAGGGAACTTTGAGATTGCCTGTAACCCCAAAGGGAACTATAGGTCTCTTGGAACATATCTGACCTCTCCAAGACCTGCCAGATATAGTCAGACTTCCGGTTCCAGCCAAGATGAAGTAGCCCCATTCCTCCCAGCTCCTCCCTCCCTCTTACAACTGAAAGACCTTAGACGTTATACACCATACAAGCATAAGAAGATTCCAAAAGGCAGAAAGGAGAAGGCAGACTTCCCAGGGTCCTCAGGACTTCAGGAACAGCACAGTGGAGCTCTGCCAGGTCTCTTTGTTGCCTCCTGTTTATTCCAAACGGGGCTCTACATAAACCTCCAAACTGGAATTGCCAACAGCCACAGACCAAAAAAATTTTCAAGAAAACCCTGTTTAGGGGCCAGCCCAGTGGCATAGTGGTTAAGTTCACGCACTCCGCTTTGGTGGCCCAGGGTTCAACGGTTCGGATCCTGGGCACAGACCTACACGTTGCTTGTCAAACTGTGCTGTGGCAGGCATCCCACATATAAAATAGAGAAAGAGGGGCGCAGGTATTAGCTCAGGGCCAATCTTCCTCAGCAAAAGGTGGAGGATTGGCGGTGGATGTTAGCTCAGGGCTAATCTTCCTCAAAGAAAAGCCTGTTCCCCACAGCCAGAAAACTGAGAAAGGGGTGACCTAACAACAGAAAACCTTTTAGGCCATACTCACCCCACTCCAGCCAAACACCAGTGGAAAAACTACACTCCTTGCCCCTGGAGTTTCAGCAGGGCCAAACAGGGAGTTGATCTTCTACCACAACCCCGCTGCCCCAAGGAAGCAGGTGGTAGCACTCCAATTCCCCTACCCATAGGGCTAAGGAGATCTAATCTTCCATCTCCAACTTGGTGGAAGAAGGAAGTGCTCTAATTCCCCTGTGGGTTGCTGTCTGTGGACCGAATGGGTAGTTGATCTTCCGTCCTTTGCTCAGTGGAAGCAGGCAGTGCTCCAATTTCCCTGCCAGGGTTAGTGGAGTCCAGTAGCTGGTTGAGCCTCACACTCACCTGTATCAAACAGACAGAATGAGGTGGGAGGAAGGGATAATTGGCTCACTGATGCCCTTCCCTGGTGTCAGCAGGGCCCAGCAAGGGGCTGAGCTTCTGCCCCAACCCTGCAGCAACAAAGCAGCGTGAGTCAGCCCTCCACTTCCCCTCTGCCAGGTGTCAGTGGGGCACTGGGGGGAAATGGAGCTCACACGCACCCTTGGAGGCAATGGGACAGTGGGAGTTGGTGCCTGTCTTTTGCTGGGAAGGTATCAGTGGGTTTGAGCCATAAATCTATAGATTCACGTGTCAGAGTGAAATCCAAATGGGATAAACACAAATGGTGTGAAACTCACATCAAGACATATCTTAATTAAACTGCTAAAAACTAAAGACAAAAAAACAAATTCTTGAAAGCAGCCAGGGAGAAACAATGTGTTACTAGCAGGGGAACACCAATTTGAATGACAGCAGATTTCTTGTCTGAAACCATGGAGGCCATTGGGAAGTGGCACAACACTTTTCAAGTATTGAAAGAACAGAACTGTCAACCACACATTCTATATCCAGTGAAAATATCTTTCAAGGGTGAGACATTCTCAGACTAAGAAAAACTAAGAGGTTTTGTTGCTAGAAAGCCTATGCTTTTAGAATGGCTAGAGAAAACTCTCTATACATAAAGGAAATGATAATAAAAGAAGGCTTGGAACTTCAAAAAGGGAAAAATAACATCAGAATGGGTAAAATAGGGGTAAAGTATCCCACTTCTCATTAGTTTCTTAAAACATATTTGATGGTTGAAGCAAAAATTATAACACCATCTGATCTAGTGTTCAGTATAGATGGAGGAGATACTTAAGAAAAACATATTTTAAAAATGCAACAGGTAAAGGGACTGAAATGGAATAAGATTTCTACACCTCATTGAAAGTGGTAAATGTTGCAACCAGTAGACTGTGATA